TGGTGAACGCTAATCGGAAACATAATTTGTTAAGGCTTAATATGCTGTCAGTGAAGCTTCCAAGCTACCTCTCAGTGGGGAATTTCATGGGTCGCATTTGGCCCTAAAACTACAGTAGTTTCGTGTATCCCATGACGCAATTTGGCTCTGACGACATTATAAATGTGTCCCTTCACCAATCGAACACCCTGCGCTAGTTCCCGCTTTCCTTCATGCATTAACTCGTCGCCTGCTGGCGCACTTTCAATATTGCTAGAAGGAGCATTTCATTGAAGCAATGTGTTATCAAATCCAGCGGATATTTCAATTTTAAACCGATGACTTACCACACTCGATTTCATCACTGTGATCATTGCAGTTGACGAGACCGTCACAGAGTTGTTCTTCTTTTATACACCAGCTACGATCCACACATACAAATGGACTCTCTAGATACTGTTTACCACAACCGCTCGTGTCGTTGTAGGCTTTTGTTTCTATAAAGAAATAAACCTCCCCCTTGTAATATAATCTCTACGCCCGTTTTAATATTAATAACAGTTTGTTAGTGTGGAAGGAAGGTATCAAGGTAAGTCTCCATGTTAATGTACGAAATATCATAATTTATATTATTCGTTAAGTGAACATTCTATTATAAAATCAATATAGATTCACTGCCGCACCGTTGAAAAGAAAGAACTGACTATTTCGATAATCCCTAAAAAAGCGATTTATAAAGAAACAAACAGAGGAGGCTCTAGGCTCCCAATCCATCCCCTTCAAAACGTCAGTAAGTTGTTTCCCGTATTATATTGGATTAGTGAATTTCTGGGGTTGGTTAATACTTACTCGTATTATCTTCATCTCCAGTATCGTCATTGTTGCCGCCATTCACATCGCCATCACTATCAGCCTCATTGCCAGTGTCATTATTTCCTTCATCGGCGACATCAGTACTGCTATCTTCAGTACAGTGTCAGCGTCATCGCAACCAATCTTGTCACTGCCATCGGCACAGAGTTTGTGTCCATCGCACAGGTTACGCTCCGGAAAGCAGTTGCTGCCGTCGGCGCATTTATACGCAAAATTTGGGAACCACATCGCACATCCATTTGTATCGTAGTAAGCACCCGGTGCGATCTCGTCTGAAAAAACTGTAAACTTTCTGTATTGTTACTAATGCATTGAAATGTATACTTGGCCGTCGTCCACTCACTTTTGTCTGATACGTACATTACAGCCGCAGCTGACGCGATAACATAATCCGCTATGACTGTGTTAGTTTGTTTGCACATTTCCTATTCGCCCATTTACATATATTTGACATGTCTCTTACGTTTTTAGTCCCTGAATTTCAACGTATATTGCAATATGGTTTTTCGTGAGAATGGCACACTATTTTTTAACTGGATATTTACTTTAACTTGTGAAGTTTCATATAGGGTATTATTTAGATCATGTTGAGGGAGATGATCAAAATCAAACCAGTGGTTTCCGACACTTTATCCGTGAAGCCCAGCGGAGCTTCTATATCCTCCGAGGAGCTCCGCGTAGCACCGGGGAGCTCCGCCGATTTCATTAATTAGCTTGTAATGAGGTCACTCGGAAACGGCATTTTTTCTGTCCGTATACGAACAGGTTCACCTAGAAAAAGTAACTGTCAAACGTCTGTGTCTTGATAGAAATTGATTCGAAGTACAGGAATCCGAGATTCCTCTCCTGTTAGAGATTTCTAATTTGTTTTTACTGCCAGTAGTGCATGTCAGTCAACGAAATAGCACGAATTATATTCATGCAGTTTGACCTCGAAGGTTTGACGGGTAGATGACCCACGATCTCGAGAAAAATGAATCGTAATCATCATGATGGTATTTTACTTTGAAAACTGGATACCGCCGATATAATAAAATATTCTTCGTTCTTTTATACGTGTTGGTATAACGAAATTGTACATTCCGTAACGTTTTAAAATCGACAATTTGTGCTCATGGAACCACTTAATATAAAGTGACTTGGAGAAAAATCGCTGACGGGTATTTGAACTTCTGACCTAGATTTAGCAGGGACGCATAGTTCCGTTTTGTCACCAAAGTGTGAACTTCATACTACTTAAGTGCGATCGACTAAAGTTCGTTTTTATTTGGAAATAATAGTTTTAGTCAAACCAGAGCAAAATATTATAACACAAGTCATCCGATGCTTTATGTAAACAATGCAACGTGATACACCAAATATTTACGACCCGCAATTTTGTGGAATCTACGTAAATGCGTTCAAGGAGACAGTCTTATTACGTGAATTTAATAGAGAAAGTCGCTGACACGAATTGTGACTTCTGACCCAGATTTTACAGGGAAACATAGTCCCATTTTGTCGGCAAAGTACGTGTTTCATTTATTTCAGTGAAATTCACTATAATTCTTTTTTTATTATCGGGAAATAATTGTTTTCAATAAAAACAGAGCTAGATATAATGCAAGTAGCAAGGTGTTTACAGCGGTAAAGCAACGTGACACAGCAAATATTTACGGCCAGCAATTTTGTGAAATCGACGCTTTGATAAATAGGCAAACACGTTATTTACGGACATTAAGAAATAGGTCAGCAGACACCTTTATACTACGATGTCCTTAAAAATGTACAAACGAGCATTCATATTTTTTTATTTACTTTTAAATTATCTTATTTTATACAGCAACTGAAGCTAAACAATATGTTTTCAATTTGTTTCAGTCCGCTTGCAAAAACGAGGCGCCGCACTGAATTGTCCGCGGAGCTCTGCAGATACCGGGCCGGAAACCGCTGGTTTTATTTTGACCGCCTCCCTAGTACGAATACTTTTGGTATTCGCAAAAAAAGTGGTTTAATTCAAGGTATTTATGGAATATGTGCAGATGGTACGTGGTTGTCGGGATCTAGAAAGCTGTTCAACGCCATAAAAAGATTATGGTTAGCAGCAGACATTCCCGCCATGGCCAGAGGCGTATTTTTTTTACTAAGCCGACTTGAATATATCCTCGCTCTCGGTCCGAATCAGGAACTTATAATAATGCAACTTGCCTGCAATTTGCGCCCTCTAGCGACGTGACGCAATAATGAGCTTTAGGGTTGAGGTAAAGGGTGACGTGTATCTGTAGTTGTCCATCAACTAAAATTATACCTATGAGTAATAGATACGAACGACTACAATGTTGTCGATTTGAATGACATTGTCAACACCCAATACGTCATTTTGACGTCACAGAACCATTCCGTCACTAGAGGGCAAGATGATTTATAGGAATTATGCAAAGAACTTATACATCTGAGCCATCCCGCATTCGACGCAATTTTGTATCTGTTCCCATTTACAATTACCACATGGCAGGAATGTCATTGAATCTATTGAATCCTTACCACTAACAGCGGTTTCGCCATCGGTTTCGTCTCCACCGCAACCGATTTCGTCACTGCCGTCCGGGCAAACTTCGTAATCGTCACACATCATGTCTTCAGAAATGCAGTACGTACCATCAGCGCATTGGTACGTGTATTCACCGGGAAAGAAATACGCACACACAGCGTTGTAAGCAGCACTGTCTTCCCCCACTGTAACTCGATAAACACAAAAAAAGGAAAATGGTTAAACCAATGTACCGTCAAACTACCGTCATTAAAATGGTGTCCGAGGAAAGTACCGATAGATGAGCGCCGCACATAACACGTTCTTGTTATTTGTGACGTAAGTGTTCTGAATCACTGACAGTGCGAGAATTAATCTCTCAACCGACAAGTGAGTATATTTCGCTTGTTTATTTAACACCATATATGCGTCTAATACGAATACGAAGAGTTTAATTTCAGCTGCCTCTCTTATGAAAAAATGCGCACCGTTATGGTTGTTACAGGGCTTATTTTATAAATATCGACGCACTTTATAACTGTAGTATAGCGACGTTTCTACACAGTTAAGTATGAAATCTCTGGCGTAACCTCATTTATAATTATGCCATTGCCGGATTTTTAAAAAAAAAATATTTTCAGCCGAACGAGTTCATACTTTAAAATATAGTTGACAACTGATATTTATCGCGAAAGCCGTCTACATAATCAGTGGTTACCTACCTGCTCGATACTTGCAGAGCAATGTGCTAAGAACACAGACAGATAGCAGACGCATCTTTCTGTATGTGTTTCGTTCTGTTGGAAGAGTGGTGTATGTGGAGTGGTGGTGTGTGCTTTATATAATCGCAAATTCAGCGGACCCAGGGAGACGATGATGTAGGCAATGGAAACGTAGAATATAATGTTAAACAATAAAACGCTGTCGAATAATACGCTCTGCTCAAAGACAATAAATCTAATTAAGTTCATATTCAATGCGGTATAATGTGCACAAATAAAAGAAACCGAGAAGTTGGAGAAGCACCGCAAACCCCGTTTTTTCCGTACTATCATTTTTGGTGAATTTATTTCACGGTATTTACAATGAATCAACTCGTGTCTGACACAGCAATTTTTTTTCAAACATCGGCTATTTTGTTTCACCATGAAAACCGTTTTATTAGATGTCTTATCAGAGACACTTGAAGGATTAGCTTGTTTGTAAACTGTCAGCGTGTACAGTGGGACAGTAATGTTTGTCGTTGTTCGTTTGCATAACAATGGAAAACCCGAACGTTCCTGGAGTACGGACTCAAATGCCAGCAGTTTTCTTCATTTTTCACGCTCGAGCTTGAAATTATTCATTATCTGACACTCTTTATGAGTTCTATGATATCAGTGGTAATATGTTTGGCCATTTTTAGTGTATATTTA